CACCGACAAAGACAAAGTGATGTAACACCTAAAAGATGAAGAGACTGACATCCTTTATTCATCCCCTGAAGAAGAAACAAATAGTTTCGAAATGTTGGGACTATCTTTTTCCAGATCTTTTGCACATTTGGTTGGCAAATTCCTTTTTTCCTGATATTACTTCAAAGTGTGGAACTGCTTTGCTCATGACTGCAAGTTATCAGATTGTTTGGTCACACAGGACGGGAGAGAGACTTCAAAACTAATTTTAATTGCACTCCAGTTCGTAGAAAGAATAACACACAGAAAGAAGAGACACAAACACAAACACTCACATACACAGGGACAGGACACGAACACAGGCACGCATACAATTTTTCTGATTTTATCTGTGTCTGTTTGTGTGTCTGTGTTTGTGTCCTGTCCCTGTGTATGTGAGTGTTTGTGTCTTGTCCTTCTGTGTGTTATTCTTTCTACGAACCGCAGCGCCTTTCACCAACATGCTCCCTTTGCTTCTAATTTTAATTGTCAGAGAGAGGCTAACAAAATTTGCACCATGTGTCTACTATGTTAGCCAACTGTTCTGGGCCGAAATAATTTTTGTCATTACGTTGTGGTTTAGCCTCATCGACATCATCTGGGCAAAGCCTGACCAGACTGGACGGTGCCCTGGAGGCGCCTTCAGGTTCCGTTGAGGAACTCCCGGCAGGAGCTGGGATGACGTTGGGGGCCTCAAATTGTAAGTCCTCCAATTTTTACTGTATGCAACCAAGCACAACACCCGTCAGTGGTCCTTGTGTTAGCCTTTTTAATGTTTTATTTCCTAACACCGGCCTAACCAAAGGAGCTTTGACATGTGGTTTTTTTTTTATATATATATATATCCCTTGACGTCAGCCATCTTGATAGTGGCAAAATGAAAGTGTGAAGTATTTATGCTCAAGGTCTGAATATTTGGTGAGTAACAACTGGCCACAAGGTGGTGGGCACTCCAGCTTTTCTCCGGGTATTTTATACTTAGAAACCTGTAATCTAACTTGCGAAAGCAAGGGCCTGCCGGCCTGTTTAACCACTGTTATAGTAGACTTGTTTGCACTGGCTGTCCTAGTTTAAGTGTGCCGGGCTCGTATTTTGAACGTGTCGTCTGCAGTGCTGGGATATGGTTTCCAAATTAAGCTTAGGAGTTTAAGAATGTTGGAACATTCATATCTTTTATTCAGCATGATTCTACTAGGAGCCAAATCTGGGAATTACTAGCTAGTAATTAGCTTGTCAGCTTTGGACCTTATAGCGTAACCATCATTTATCTTTTTTTAATGCTTCAGCTGAATAGTGCATGAATAAGAGGCAGTTGCTGTAATGTGTTTCCCACTGGCAGTGACACAGCTACCTTTTTTTTTACAGCTAATTTGTATAGTATTTCCTAGTATAGCAGCCGTTGAGTTGTACTGTCAAAATAGCTTAAATAACTTTGCTGACTATGATTGCACCTCCTATGTTAGTTATGGTGCAACAAGGTTGCTGATCAGCTTATGAGACCAGCTCTACCCAATGCTATCTCCTTCACTCTGGGGACTTCTCAACATATTCCTTGCATTGGTGGAAAACTGATGTAATTTTTTGTCTACCATTTGTTGCATTGACATGATTGATGCACAGCTGATACAACCTGGCTGGTTTATGACAGGGCTTAATGCAGCCCTTTTTCATACAGCCATGTGCTTTCTTTTATGGTTCAAATATGAGATAATAAAGATCAAGGTTAAATATAATTGTTTGTTTTTTGTATTTGCAGGCTGCTGCTATGCACACTGCAAAATATATATTTTATTTATGAATTTTTTCACACCATTTATACAATGGGCAAAGTGTGTGCAACCACAGTGTGTGAGTTGTGTACTCCAAAACTACCATCTGCAGGCAGCCTCAAATTCATCACACACATAACAGTGCTTGTCTCTTAGCGAGTGCAGTCATAAACATATATCTTTTTAGGTTCACGGCTCCTGATGATTTCTTTTATCAGTCAAGCCATTTTAATCTTTTGCTTTTAAAGAAGGGAAAGACTGGTGTCCGCTAGTGCTGCACAGCTTACTTCTCCATAGGACCCAGGGCCAGAGCTTGATAATACATTACTCACCCTAATTAATCTTCCATTTCAGGTCCAGAGCAGTCTCCAATAGTTAAGCTGGTGCTTGAGCTTCGGCTACAGAATGGGGAGATTTTGCGGCAGTTGGGGGCGATGCAGCAGGACATTAGAAACTTAAGTTTTAATTTATCGCAAATGAAGGCCTCAATGTCTGCTGCACCGCCTTCGCCGGAAATGGCTCCAGAGCCGTCGCGGGCGCCCCTTCCAAAGCTGCCCGCGGCGACTATGGAAGAATTCAGGGAATTGGAAAATGCCCTGAAGGATAAAGCTACAGCCACAGCCCTGGTATGTTGCACTTTCCTCCTTTCATATGATGATTTTTCCAACATGCACTGCAGTGCTTGTCGCTGGCTCATAATGTCAACTATCATACTCGGCCACTAAACGGGTGGACACTGCATTTGCTTTACTCAATGTTAATAAATGATAGCTTTTCAGTATGAAGAAAAATGAAAACTGGTTGTGTCGTCATAGCCGTGTTTCTGTGTTTGATTTGGTATTTGGTCATGCTTCTACATTTCCGTTGTCCCTTGTTTTTCACAGCAGCTGGAGGTGGCTACGTGGGTCAGGGCAACTGACACGGTTGCCGAGGCCTGCCGAAGCCTTCTGGAAAGGGCCCTCAAGAAGGAGGTCCAAATAAAATTTAGCCTCCTGGGCCGGAAAGGCAAGCTACCTTTCCGGGGGACCCTCCTCTGCCACATTGGGACAGGTATGATTATATTTGCTTAATTGATCAACACATTGATAGATCCTTGTTATTCGAGTTTGCTGAAGTGCATGCAACTGCTTGACTGTTATAGCATGTCACTTTCAAATCAAATCCTTTATTTGTGCCTGTGATGTAGCATATAGTACAGGCACTGGGAGGCAGACAAAAACCCAGCAGTTGTTGGCTTGACAAGGTTTGCACACTTGTTCACTCAGCAAGCAGCAAGGTGACAAATGTGATACAAAGAAAAATATAAGAGAAAAAGAATTGCACCAATAAATGTTAGTAAACACTATAAACTATTTGGGGATTAGTTTACAGAGCTTGAAACATGATTTGTCTCATCGAAGGGTGGTCACAGGTTCTATTTGTACATTTTGTCATAATAGTTGGTTTGGTGATGATGGGAGATGATGCTTTAACATTTGTGTGCAGTGCTTAGTTAAATTATGAGGAACACTCTATAGGCTACCATCACGTAGGTTACAGGCAGTAGTGATCTCAGTCAGGTGAGGTATGGAGGGTAATCTCAGTGTGTTAAATTTATTATACTTTAATTATGTACCATATGGTGCTAGAGAATATTCACATTGGCTAGTATTTGGAAGAAGGTTCATTGTATGAAAAAGATTTTTAGTCTTGAGTGTTATATTTTACATTTACAATAATACACACAGCCTTTTTCTAAAGTAAGTTCGTTTTCAACAATGCTTCTAATCTGTTATAGCGTAACATATTTAGTTCAAAAGGCCTATTATAGTGCCTGAAAATTCTAGCTATGCCTGAATGCAGCATATACTCTATCTCACAAGTTGCATGCAGTGTAGTGCAACTGTAGCCCTTGTCAGCCAATCAAGAACATAAATGCACCAGTGTACATGTGTTCTTACACAGCGTATCAGTCTTCACCTGCATTGTCCGGTCTCTGTAGAAGCCATTACAGGCAATTAAGTTATTCCTTACAGTCTGCCGAGTCATTCCATATGCCTGAATAGTTCATACTCTATAAATACAGCATAATCTCGATGATAGGGATTACCCGGGAACACGAAAAAATATTCATATAATCCTGAATTTGTTTAATTCAAGACAAGCTAACTTGTGTGTATACTTTGTCTGTGATGTTTGTTTGCACTCTTCTGCCCTTGTAGTTGCTCATAAGCCCCATCCAAAATGCATAAAGCTGCGCAGCGCTTTCTCGGCTCATATTGCTTGCACTTATGGTGCAGCATGGAACATCAAGAGCGTTAAGTGTTTCTACCATCGACGACACAGCTTTGTTGGGCATGTGAGTTAACCTTGGCTCGTTGGGCTGTGAGCCTGGCATGCTGCCGCTTGGCCAGCATAGACTGGAGGTGGAGAGGGGGCCAGCGGCAACTGTGCGTATTCTTCCCCTCTAAGACCAGCTGCGCCCACCCACTCGTTTCGCATGCACCGATGGTTCACGTGCTCGTATCACCCGGGACGACTTGAGTACTGTTTGTATCATCCTGAATGGCAATATATTCAATATTGCCCGGACCATCTTTAAATTCATGTGACCCTGAAATTCCGGTCAATCGTTATTGTATCATCGACATTTGACTCTGTGCAATCTGAGCCGTACCGGAACTTGTAACCGCATTGGGTACTCCTCCACCTCGTCGCACCTTGCAGCTCCACACTGCACACAACTACTGAGACAGAGTATAGCTGTGCAGTGCTGATGGGAACCTCTTCTTAGAATAGAAGTGTGGTCATTAGTATAGTAATCAGTAAAAGAGAGGAGCATGTTGCTTCTCTGTACCTAGCTCTTGCCCTGACATCTGTATTTTAATTACTACTGCTCTGGATAGAGATTTAACCCTGGTTGGATCCAATTTCCTGATCCTAAGACTATTCTAAGTATCAGCGGCAACCGTTATGCCTTGATGTTTAATGCAGAACGTTTAAAATTTCCACTTTCAGAGACCATCAAGAGTGGGAAGGCTGCCAATGTGCCAGATGTCGAAAAGGCCATTGGCAGGTACCTGGCCGGTGCTGTGGACCAGGAGGGGGGTAGGCGCCAGAGGTTTTGCCGCCAAACAGAGGCCATTCAACTGCCAACTGGCGATGTGTGAAGTGCAAAAAAATAGCACAGAAAGTTGTTTTCAAAATAAATTATTAGCAAAGAAATTATTTTGTTCATTTGCATGTCAAACTAAAATGCACCCAATATTTTCTGATGGTAAAATTATATATTTTTAGCCTGCATGTTGCAAAGAAAATCTTCAGTGTTATCAATACAAGAGAGATAAAACTATTATCTGTTGTTGCAGTTGTACATTATATTGCCAAATATCGGGAAGAGCCTGGCGGCAAAGGGTTACCAGTGCAAGTGTGGTAAACTGCTCAACCATGGTGCCAGGAGAAAGGCACGCCCAATATTTGTAGTAGCTTGGCGAAAACGGCCTTCGGACATTTGGCTGCCGTTGCGACAGAGATTGGCAGCCAATTTTAACGTGGTTGGCAAAACCTATCTAGGCTAAAAGGGCAGTGCCGTTATGCCCAATATTGGCTGAAAATGGGCAAGCGGAGTGGTCCAATATTGGCTGAAAATGGGCAAACAGAATGGTCCAATATTGGCTGAAAATGGGTAAATAGAGTGGTCCAATATTGGCTGAAAAATGGGCAAACAGAATGGTCCAATATTGGCTGAAAATGGGCAAACAGAATGGTCCAATATTGGCTGAAAATTGGGAAATAGAGTGGTCCAATAGTGACTGAAAATTGGCAAACAGAATGGTCCAATATTGGCTGAAAATTGGCAAACAGAGTAGCCCAATATTGGCAGGCTAGCTGGCCCAATATAGCGCCTGGTAGCGTTTGCCAATATTGACCAATATTGGTGCCGGCCTGAGCCGATATAGGACCGTCATTGGACCAATATTGGGGTGCTCCTTGGGTTCGAAGAGGGCTTGCTTGAGGGCTTTAAATGCCTCGTGGGCTTCAGGAGGCCAAGGTATCTGAGTAGGCACCCCTTTCCCGGTGAGCTGCGTCAGCTGCCGAGCTATCTCTGCAAAGTTAGGAACGTAGCTACGGTAATAGCCACAAAGGCCGAGGGCGCTCCTCAGCTCTTTCTTTGTCTGGGGCACCTGGAGTCCCTCAATGGCCGAAACTTTCTCGGGATCTGGACCATGCTTTCCAGAACCTACAATATGCCCCAGATAGTGAATAGAAGGCCTAGCCACCTGACACTTTTTTAGGTTTGCACGCAAGCCCGCCGCCAGTAATGCTGTGAACACCCTGTGTAGGTGCTCAACGTGTTGTTCTAGTGACGTACTGAACACAGCTATGTCGTCTAGATAGGCGCACGCGTAGTCTTCGTGACCTGCCAGCACGTGATTCATATTTCTCTGAAAAGTCGCCGCCGCGTTTTTGAGGCCGAAGGGCATCACCCTCCATCCAAACTGACCACAGTGCGAGATGAACGCCGTACAAAGCTGAGAATCCTCGGCCAATGGCACCTGCCAGTAACCGCGTCGCAGGTCTATGAGCGTGATGAACTTGGCCTCCCCCACGCGCATGATGAGCTCCTGTGGGTGTCCCATTGGGAAGGCATCTGTTTCCGACACTGCATTAAGCGCGCGGTAATCGATGCACAAGCGCACCGACCCATCTTTCTTTGGCACGCATACGATCGGGTGTGCGGAGGCGCTTTCACATCGGTATATCAAACCTAGTTCCAGCAGCTCTCTGATCTGTTCAGTAACCTCCCCCTTTAAGGCGTCAGGAATCCTATAGGGGCGGCCGCGCTTTGGGCTAGCGCCTTCGATGAGCTTCACGCGGTGTTCCCCCACTCGCGCGATACCCGGCTGGCCCGAGAAGAGCGCGCGGTGCTGGTCGAACGCAGCACCTATACGGGCAACTGTTTCTTCATCGATGTGCGCGGTCTTTTCATGATCGAGAATTGAACGCGCCTGACCAGGCTCGGCTGCTCGCGGAGTGTATTCTACCTCCCCGAAGTCACAGTCATCGTGAAACATAACGCTCACCGATGCAACTTCGCAAACGTACACACTTAAAATTTTTACACCCTTATTCGTGTAAATGGCTCGTCCTCTGGCTAACGCCTTTATTCGTGTAAGGGTGTTAGCCGCCGGAGGTGGTGAAAATCGTGTTAACTGCTAACACCCTAAAAACAATATGGCGGCCAGTATGCGACAGGCGATACGAGCGTGGCGAGCCGTACGCGGCTTCTCGCCGGAGCAAGAGCATACGGCTCGCACGCTCGTTTGGTGTCATCTGTAGGCGCAAAAAACTTTCCAAACATCTCTATGTCCAAGCGCCAACACCGCAAATAATACGAGTAAGGCCGAAACCGCTGGAGAATGAACAGCCAAGACTGTCGCCGAAGTCTCGCTCGGCCTGCTCGATGCCGGTCGCATTTTCATCGCATCAGAAGCGCTTATAAAGAAGGGATAGCTTTACAAAACACTGACAGGCTGGCTTTATTGAACAAAACGCCCACTTGCCGTGGACGACAAGTTGACAACGAATCGCTCCGACACCCTCTGTCGACAGCGGCTAGGAGGTATCGCACTCGCGCTCCGTGTGGCTCTCGATTAACTATTGCCTGTGCTCACCTCTGTTACGTGCGTTATCCACTCATGAACGCTTGTGCGTGAACAGCGGCATTCAGCACCTAGAACACGCGCTGGGGAAGCCGCCTAACCTCCTTTTGTTGCAATCAGGCAGCATAACACGACGACACAGCTACCAGCGGAACCGAAAAAACTCGGAGCGATCAACACGACGGATGGACTAATGGCATCCAGCCCTCTAATAGTTATAGACCACCAACCGGCACACTTTTCAAATTGGGCGGCGACAACCCCCATCTAGCGACGAAAAAAAAAAGTGATCAACATTTGAAAAAAGAAAACTGCAGTTTTTTGCTGCCCACCGCGCGGTTACATTCACTTACGACATGGACATACACACAACACTGTACATACACAAGGGCATACAAGCACTGATCAATTGCACAACACACAACAAATGGTACATACATCCTACTTATACCAACAAGTGCCCCGAGCGGTATATATGCCCTCCTATTTCGCGCATCGGTTAGCCCGGTGACCACGCTGGTCTTAATCAGGATATGAAAAGATTACGGCAATTTTGTTTTTCAATAATATTTTTTCTGCATTTGTCTTAGGTAGGCACACATATCCCTTAATAACTTCTTACAGCATAATGTATTATAATGATACGCGCCTAACTTCTAGTAACTCAACGTGAGTGACGAGAAAAAAAAAAATCGTGTGAATTCTGTCTGGCAACCACACTCGCGGCGTGGTTGCTATGGCGACGCTGTCGATACGCGCGCCGGCAGCCGTCCAGCTGGTTCGGCCGTTCGGTTACGGCCGAGTGCGCGAGTCCACGGTGAACGCCGCGAACGCAATCGAGAAAACAAAGCGTCGACTACTGAAGCTGTACGTAATCTAGTTTCCGCCCGTTCGCTGCCGAATTCTTCGTAGTCTTCTTCCGCCCGCTCGAAAGGGAGCAGCCTACCAGTCCGATTACCGCCGTGGCTTCAGTGGCTTCATCTTCGGAGGGAACTGTCAACTGAATTAGTTCCAAAACGCGGGTGCAACAGGCAGCGCAACGTGGCGCGGTCCACGCACAAAGTCGGTAAGTAAACAAAACACTCAATGCCGTTCCATTCTTTTTTTTTTTTTTTTTTTCCTTTACGGGGGCGTGCGGTGTTTCTGGGTGGCTCAAGGTATGGGAAAGCAACCGGAAAATCGGCGCCTGATCGACCATGGGGTGAAAATTTCAAGGCGTATCGTATGCAAACGACAGCGTTTGCCGGTGGAAGACTCGGTCGTCCGTGGCGAACGCATTTTTAGTATTTTTAAGGATGTTCTAGCTGCAAAAGAAAGGAGCGCCTTAAAATTTCACTAGGTAAAATACACTGCTGAGGAAACGACGCCCCTTTGCGTGCAGGCGCCGATTTTTCCGGCAGAGTTTAGCACGCTGTGAAATGCAGTGTGCATTTAGGGAGAGTTTTGGCATAATATAATGTTGCTCATTGGAAATAAAAAAAAAAGAAATGCTGGCATCATATGTTTACAGACTCTTAGTTATTTTTGGAATCTTAAGTACCCTTTTTGTGGCAGGTATTGGACGCCAGCACATTTTACGTAGGAACGAAGAGTGGAATCGGGCCAATTGCCTTCCACATTAACATCAAATGAGTGCTGTGAAAGCAAAGAAGAAAATGAGGGTGAAACAGTTCCTGCAGTAGTAAGTGCCAGAAACAAGAAAAGTGCCCCGAAGTGGAAAATATACTCCCTTGAAAAGGATCCAAAAGAAATAGAAGTTATCAGGTATACCACCGAGCGTCACAGACCTGGACACTCCATTTCAGTTTTTTAAATGCCCATGCCCTGATCAGCTGTTTACAGCAATATTTGAGGGGACCATCCTGTATTGAACTCAATGCCACCATGAACACCATTTTCGGGTTCTGGTCACACCTCCACGCAGGATGTCCTGCTTCAGATCAAGGAGGATATCCTTGACAGAATCTCCTGTACGACAACGCGGGCGGTCCTGGCCCTGGATATAAAGGGCGCCTTTGACAACGTCAGTCACACGCTGGTGTTCGAGAACTTGGCCTCAACTAGGTGCGGGCCCTGGATGTATGATTATGTGCGGGACTTCCTGAGCAACTGGATGGCCACCATCGGAATCGAGTCCATCCGCACAAGCACCATCCCGATACCGAGCAAGGGCAATCGGCAAGGCTCGGTCCTGTCACCCACCTTGTTACCTGGTGATGTGCAAGCCGCCTCCTCTACTGGAACGGATTCCCCGGATGAAGCATACACTCTATGCCACTCTATGTGGATGACCTGACGATTTGGGCTACGTCGGGATCGAACAGCGGGAGGCAAGACTTCCTCGAAGAAGTCATTGAGACGGTGCAGAACTACCTCGAGGCCGGCAACCTCCAGCGCGCCCCCGATAAGTCTCAGCTGTTGCTCCTCCGCGCGGGCAAGCCAATTCCCGAAGAAGAAGAAGGCGGACATCCGCCTCACGTTAAAGGATGGTACCCCCGTGCCGGTGGTGAAGCGGGTTCGGATCCTGGGCCTTCACCTCCAGCGGGACGGCGGACCCAAGTACACGGTCGACCGACTCGTCAAGACAACCACGCAAGTCATGCGCATGGTGAGAAGGATAACGAGTCACAGACAC